ATACATACATACATACATATAAATAAATAAGTGTGTGTATATATATATATATGTATATATATATATACATATGGGCTGTGTGTAGTATCCCGCTCCTGCATTTCCGCACTGCTGTACTATTGTGGAACCAGCAACTGGTTTTGAAATCCATTGAAAGCTTATAAACCCAGGCAAAATTTATAAACCCTTGGTACATTTGAATCTGGATCAAAGCATATAAACAACAGTGAATTCACATGGTTTTGTTGTGTCCAAGTCGAAAGCAACATAAAATATGCGTATGATTATGGATGCTTCTCACTGCTCGTTCCAGTACACACCCGCTATGGAAGTCACGATTTCGTTGCGTTCTTGCCCAACTCTGCGCCTATCTTGGAGATTAAGCCAGGAAGTTGCAAATCCTGAGTACTTGCACCTGGGTTCTAAGAATCCATGCTTTCAGCATGCTGACCAGGTCAAGCCCGTATAACGTCATAAGTTCTACAACAACCTCGTCGAAACCCCGTTACATTGTGCTAAAACCTTCGCTTTGCGACCGTCGGTACATTTTCGTATTTCATGCCTGTGTGACTGCTCCTCAAACTCTGAACGCTAAACGCTTGTAGATCCAATTTACTAGCAAAGGTCCGTTTGGTCATTAGTCTGCTTCAGTCATGCCCTTCGGCGAACAAGGTTTTTCGAATTTAAGAGTTTGCAACATGTGAAACGCCGCAATCCCGTCAGAGTGTCTGTTTTTGTCTAATCATTGCTATGGAATTTGGGTGTTGCGTTCCTTAACTCTGTATAGTGACAGCCCCATACGGCCCCATACTAAATTTAGAAACTTGCATGCAACACGTTTAGCAACGTTGTATAGTGTTTCCCCTGTGGGACAACATGCATACAGTGTCGCTTCTTAGGCTTGACACTGTTTCTATACGCCGAATGACGAAACTTTTGCTTCTTGTAGCAGCATACCGAAACCATCACGTATAGCCGACAGCGAACCATAAAGCCTCATGTAGCTTGTCCGTAAGGAGAGCATAAGCAGTCTGTGAGATGCGAATACTGTTTGTCCTTACAGTGAATTCGGATCAGCCTTATCTCGTGCATGTCTTGTCGACTTTGCTAGTCCTGCGCCCTGCAGCATTTATGTTTGTGTTCTTGTGAACATCTACGCCCTGTTAGAAGCCATTGTCCCAGTCCAGAACGTGATTCCTCGGGTTAGAAAGTGGTGAAACACACTGCGTCAGTCCTTCCGAAAGAGAGTTCATCCCCATGTATTGGAAACAGCGCTGCTAGGAGTTTCTACGTACCAAGCGAGGAAACCTAACAGTTTGAAAGCTGCAAATTTTGCTTGCTCCCAGCACATATTCTTGTCAGTCTCGTCTCATCGAAATCCTCAGGAAGGATGTTTGGACACATCTTTGCAATTAATTCGTCTATGTACGAAGTGATGAGACCTAACCAAGTTGCAAACAACAATACTCTTTTCCCTTACAATAGGTCTTGTCCAGTCGTATCTCAATTTACTGTGTAGCTTAATATGCCAAGGTTGACAATGCCTACTGAGCTATGTAACCCCGGTACAAGCCATGTCATCTTCCACAGTATACTTCCTAGATGAGTGACACGTAAGTGCCTTCTCTCTTGTAAACTCCATGTACTGGAAAAGTCTGATCATTCGCAAGATCCTGCAGCGTGGCCTTTCCGCCAAAGTCGTGGGAATATGCATATGGTCCCTGGAACTTGCGAGAGCTGACAAAAAAGCACTGCATCATTGCTCACCAGACCGAATAAATGCCGGATACTCAGGACCATCTATTCTCTTAGTACTTGCTTAGCTGATGATGAAGTATTCATGAGATGGATTTATTTCGTATGGTTTATTGTGCAACGGGACCCTCCCAAAGTTTACAAATCACAATATATATATATATATGTGTGTGTGTGTGTATGTGTATCCTCACGAACGTATACTTATGTTGGTTACAAGAAGAACAAGAAGGACCATGACACACGCGACTTAATCTCAGAAGTTCCGACATATGTTGCAAGAACCGAATTACCTTGGCCTGAGCTGACCGAGCCGAATGTGTGTGTTGCTTCATTCGCCCTCACACGATCTCTTGTAGAGACTCAGCAGCTCTGCATCCCGAGCGCTGTTCTATGCTTTCAAAACATGGGACTCCCATCTGCAACAGACGAGACACTCAGAACACTTGTCCTGAGGCCGGTCCTGTGTTGTCTTCATGCGACCTACGCAGGGTTCTCAGCATGGCACCAGCAATGCCAGGAAGCGTCACAAGTCCGCAATCCGAAACTTGAAGCCCGCAGCACGGGTCCCTCGGAAGTCGAGGTGGCTGGTATGGATCCGGTACGCAAACGAAGAGACGGGGCTTCACAATCACAAAGGAGACGGTAGCTATTTCGTATATGTAGCTCTGCGACCGAAACTCTAGTTGCCAGCTGCCAGAAGCCGAATGATACCTCAAAGCAGCTGTCCTGCTTGCATCCTGTGGGTCAGAGCCTCCTGTAGGGCCGGAGACGGGATCGTCCATCAGAAATTCAGCTGCCGTCCTTGTTGAAGCATCTTGTTGCCATGCTAAACTTTTTTCACAAGGCTCAGGGCGTTGTCCTGGTTCCGTGGTCGAAGAATGGGCTGTGTGCGGACAGTGGAAGTATTGTTGATGGATACAGCAACAAGTAACATAATGGGTGTGTTGTGGTCATGTCCCTGCTGCAGCTATGTTTGCAGATAAGCTTTTCGTTTGATTTCTGTGCTCCCTAGAGAGTTCCTCGAACTCTGTGAACCCCCTGAACCTCTAAAGCCCGCACCTATGGACCTAGTGCTACGGACCTAGTGCCGAGGCATACCCCTATGGTGAGGAGTGGATGAAGCACCTCCTCGAAGATGACCTTTCCGGGGTGCGCCCGCGACAGTTTTTTGTGCGACTCGACAGACGCCGGTTTGAGTTGACGGCAGTCCCGTTCAGGTTTGAGGGTACGCCTTAGATTTCCGTAAATCTCACCCCGTAAAAAATCCCGGGTCCTTGTGAACCGTGCCAGGCACTTGGGGCACCGGTGCCTTTGGATACTGAGGAAGCTCCACTTCAGACAGCAAGGAGCTCAGGTTGCAAAAGGTGCAGTCACGCATCGACGCATCTAGTCAGTTCATGATGCTCTAGTTGTTTGTTGCGTTTGTTTGCAGTGTTGTTGTCGTCGTTGTTGGGTTCGCCGTAGAGATTCTGTGTTGTTACAGTTCAGTGTTAGCAAACCTGGCATTTGCTGGCCGATGGCCGTATATCAAACTGCATGCCGGTTTGCACTCGATAGTTCTCCACAACATCTCTGCGTTCGTTTCTAAATGGTCTACAGTCTGCAGTATAGATGTGCCATGATGCTATGAAGCTGGTGCATTTTTGGCGCTCCCACTCACATGCTTTACTGACCATGCCATTGCATCCTTGTGATGACGCTTTGTCGTTATATGCGCAAGGTCATTGTACATGCGTGGCTGATGCTGTACTTTTGCTTCTCATTGCTACACCACCTTCATTCTCTAAGAGAGGACGTGTGTGTGTGTGCCACCTGACAAATCACGCTTCCAATGCTCTATCGAGCATAGTCTTTTTTGATTGCCCTGTCATGCATCGTCAGGTTGTGTTTCAAGACCATTTGCTGTAGAAGAAAGCATTTCTACACTGCGATACAGGTCTGCATCCTACTACATTGTCATGCCGTTGTGAAGTGAAAATACCACAATCGTGTGCTAACATGTTCGACTTATCATGCCTGTTCCCACAACTTCTTCAACAATCTTTAGCATCAGGACACCTGGTGGGAACGGAAAGGATGGTGCTGGGCAGTTCTGAGGCGCGTTTGTGTGCTTCTCCCCTTGGCCCTGGTTTTCGGAACTTGCCCGACCCCGGGCAGGTGGTGCTACCATGCCGCCCTGCTGGTGGCGCTGCCTTGTTTTTGTTCGCAACTGTCAGGACAGAGGGTGACCAAGAATCTCCGGCAGCCCTAATGACCTTTTGCAAGCTAAGGTCACCAAGGCCGAAGCAGAGCATGTCAGCAGGGTTATCTTCTGGGATTTTGCTGTTGCCAGGTCATGTCCGTTCTTTCCAGCGCACCCAGCTTAGCCTGCCTCTGATCCTGCAACGGCGCCATAATTTCTGCGTTGTTACAGAGTTCTTTCTCTGACTCGAGCCATCGCTCATTCGTGGAATCCTGTGAGGTGGCGATGGTGTGTTGGATGCTGCCTCAGCGGGCTTTCGGTTGAGTTCCGAAGCCGAGGGTGTTGTGTGTTGTGGGATTCTATTGTTTATGGCCGCGCGGGAGTTCCACGTCTTATGCTTCGGCGGTTTCAAGTTTCTGAGCAGCTTCACAGTGTTGGTGGTGTTGATCTCAGTGCAAGGTACTCGTTCTGATCGCTTTTAGCTACTGTAGCTTCCCCAGCC